GTATGTGGCATTGTGTCAAAGCCACATAACTCCTATCTGTATATGATGTGTACGACAGGAAGGCTGGGGCTTGGCAGCGTGGTTCACGCCCCAGCTGAGACATAAAGCTTTCTTGTCCCTGTCGCTCCTGTTTGGGGTCTCACAGGACCTGGAGGATGTAATTCTCCGAGAGCAGTTGGGCCCGAGCATGAAGGCCCATCAATAAGGAGCAGGTGACACTGCCACAGCTGGGTAATTTGTCTCTTTGCCCTTCTGCAGCCCATTCGGTGATGATCTATTTGTCCCAGGGAATAGATGATGGCAGGTTTGTCCATATTTCACACTTATGAACCTGCCTGCTCCTCTTCGCCTGGCTCTACCCATCTGTCTTTGTCCCCGCCTCTCATTTCATTTCACAGATTGGGCAGTAGGTTTTAGCAACGAGTTCTGAAGGTGGATTCCATGAGGGAAGCTTTGGGAAAGGAGGAGGAAGGAGAAGAAGTGGGTCAGCTCCCTGCAGAGAGGGGAGGACCGACAGGTTCAGGAGAAAGAGATGTCACAGACTCAGTGGTGGGTGGGTAAGAAGGGACCTCAGAGAGGAGGGGCAGGGAGAGATCCTAGGACAGAAGACAATGATGCTGGGGAGGCCTGCTCACAGAAAATGGCTGAGTCCAATCCCAATTATTAAGTTGGGTCTAGCGCAGAACCTAGTCATGGTAGCCAGCCTCCAAGACGCTCGCATGTTGGTGTTCACACCCTTGAGATGCTCCCTCCCACACTGAGCAGGGCTGACATGTGGAAACAATGGGCTATGCAGAAATGACAGAGTGTGACTTCCAAGGCTAATTCATAAAAGTCTTGAAGGTTGCACCGTACACTCTCTCGGATCACTTGCTCTGGGGGAGGCCACCTGCCGTGTGATGTAGACACAGACATGCAGAGCAGAGCCTGAGAAGCTCACATGGCAAGGAACTGAGGCCCCCGGCCAATAGCCAGCGCTGACTTGCCAGGTATGTGAGCGACCCACCTTGGAAGCAGATCCTACAGGCTCTGTCAGGCCATCAGGTGACCACAGTCCAAGCCACCATCTTGACTGCAGTGCTGTTGGAGACCCTGAGCCAGAACCAACCCCGCCAACCACTTGGTCCTGAATTCCTGACCCATTTGGAACCATGTGAGCCAATAAATGTTTATTGTTTCAAGCTGCTAAATTTGGGGGTAATTTATTCCATAGTAATTGGAAGCAGTCTAATGATCTAACTCCTTATTTGTGGAATTGTTGCCCAATATCCATTTGGTTTGCTGCCTAGACTACATGGTCCCTGGGGCAGGATTCAAACCAGGTGCTCAGTTAACTGGCATTGCATGCCCCTGAGTGCCACGGACAGCCTCCTGCCTTACTACTTCAAGCAGGGCAAATGGGGTTAGTTAAGCAAGGAAAAGACTCTCGGATGGAGTGGGTGTGTGTCCTGGGGAGAGGGAAAGGGCTACAATTAGGATGACGAACCATCCCAGTCAGGGGACCTTCAGTGCCCAAACTGGGAAACTCTGGAGTAAACGGGAATGAGCTGGTCACCTTAGCTGGGGTGGGGGGGTCTCAAAGCTGCATTCCCAGTGAGTCGCCGCACTGATTCTCATAGCCGGAGGAGGGACATTCATCTCCCATCTCTCCCAGTCAGGGGTGAGAGCATGCTCCTGGAGTCACCTAGTGATGGAAAAGCCTCTTGGAAATGCCTAGACTCACAAAAGGAGGCTGCAGCTCAGCCCTTCCTCATTTTCTAAAAGTGGCCAGAAATACCAAAGATTTGGGTAGGACTCTCACCCTAGACCAGAAGGGTCAGCCCTTCCCCGTCCAGGGGTCCTGGCTTCCTGTGGCTTGACTGCCAAACACCCTCTACCATGCCACCAATTAGTTGCTCTGCAGCCTCTGTTCAAGTAATTCAGTGGCAGGTCACCAAGGCGGCCCCCTCCATTGTTAGACAAGTATTCCTTGTACTGAAAGAGAAGATGCGTCCACATCATCTCCACCCTCTGATGTTATTTGATAATTCGAACCCATTTCTCCCCGGGGGCCCTTTCACATACTATGTACACATTGCTTCCTCTGCCTGAAGCTCTCCTTGCCTTGCTCCCTTCTGGCAAATTCTCCCTGCTCAGCCTTTAAAGCTTAGGTACAAAGTCAGGCCGCCTGTGAGGCTGGGTGGAGATGGTCACACCCACCTCCACGCCTGCCACACTTTGTTCCTCCACCGCATGTGACACCAGTGACATCTTACTTGCTACACATCCATCTACCTGTCTGGGCTTTTCCTGAGTGGCTGCATCCAGGAACCCTCCAATCATGCTGACCCCAGAATGAGGAGCCCACTCCCTTTTAGTCCCTCAGATGAACCCAACGGGCAGCTGGGCTCGGCTGTGTCTCTAACCCCTCTTGGGACTCTTCTTTGCTAACACAGGGAGCAGGCCTCAGGCTCAGAGCCTTCTGCCTTGGCCACAAGGCACCAGCCATACTGTTACCCTCATTGCATTTATTTTGATGGTTCTGCCTGGGTATGATAGATGATTTGGGTTCTTCATTTATCACGATGATACAGTTTCCTTTTTAAATAAATCATGCAAAGAATACATGTTCATTGTAGCAACTTTAGAAAACACAAGAAAAAAATCATAGTTCAAGCCTCACTTCCTTATAGAGGTTATCATTGACCCTCAAAGTCTATATAGGACCTTGCTTTTTCCCTATCCTTCTCTCTGCCATAAGTTCTCATAGCTCCCCATACTTCTTTATAGCCTGTATTGTAATTGGCAAAAATATGTTGTATATATTTTTCACTCCTCCAGTAAATATTTCATATGTCAGGCAGGAGAGGGGAGGGGAGGGGTAGGCCTAAGGCCTCTGCCCTGGAGGTCAGTACCAATTTGATTTTGTCTCACCCGCCAAGCCTTAAATCCCAAGAGGGCTAGGGGTGTGTTGTTTTGGCCACCTTTGGTGTCCCATAGCTTAGCACAGGGCCTAGCCAGGTGGCTTCAATATTTGCTGAAGGAATTATAGAATTAAAGCCTGCCCTAACTCCTCCACCCCAAGGCCACCTGGAGGGGACTACCAACAGCGTAGGCATCTGTGGTGGACATTCTTTTGGGGAGGGGTGGTGTACGCACATATCCAGTCTTTCTGGAAGCTCTTAGGCTCATGGGGTCTGCAGGCTCTTTGCTCCTGCTAAGGTCTGTGACTTGGGGGATTGCAGGCTGAAAAGGGATTCTTCTGGAAGTTAGGCAAAAGAGCTAGGCAGAGCAGAAGGGCGTGGGGCCCCAGAAAGCCAGGCAGAGGTAGTAGTAGGGATAGAAAGGGAAAACGAGGTGATGGAGAGAAAGCATCCCTGCAACCCGGAGCCTTGTCCATCTGTCTTAAATCGTTAGCAGTTTGTTCCTTTGATAATGTGACAAATGCTACATGTGGACTCCCCCCCACCTCCGCAGGAAAACACACAGGTGCACATACCTGAATAGGATTTCAGGGGTCTTACTGACCCTCTGCCGCTCATCCTTGAACACCCTGTTAAGAACCCCGATCATTGTTCAATGCTCCCATTTTACCGAGGTGGAAACTAAGGCCCAGAGTGGGCAAACGGTTTGCTCATGGTTACAGAGCAAGGCAGTAGCAGAGCTGCAGGGGCTCAGAGAACAAGCGCCCTGACCTCTGCCCGGCATCTGCGTTTGGGGGATAC